CCACACAGGAAAGGATGCTGTCATGTTCCTTCCAGGACTCTTTAAGGATTAAATCTGTGTCTGAGACCACCTGGAGCCACAAGCAGCCAGCATTCAGGTCATAACTCAAGACTGTGTCTGTAAGTTAAAACTAAAATTTGGTTGTAACTCAAGTTGTTCATCAGGTGGGTCATAACTTGAGGGTCCATTGTATGTCAAAGTGCTTTTGCTGAGTTATATTATGAACTCTAAATTACAGTACAAAACAATAACTTTAAACAGTGAGTCTATTAACACTAGTTATTGTCCTAGTAAGAGTTATTTTTTTTCTTCCAAATGATTACAACTTTTAAAGAAATGACCAAAGTCATATTTGCTTACACAAGTTTAGATATACCAGAAGGTACACTGAAGGAAATAAAAAGCAAATGTAATTCTGCCACTAAGAAATAACAATAATTTGGTGAGTTGTCTTCTGGAACTTTTTGATGTTTGCATGTAATGTTTTTGAAAATCCAAATTGAGTCTGATTTTTCACTCATTCTTTACTTTGTTTTGATAGTTTATATGTGGGTCAACAGAATGATAATCATTTTTATACAATTTATATTTTCTTGGAGGAATTAAACCAAATTAAGAGATGAATGTAACATCAAATGAAACATAACATGATGGGGGAGGAAATGAGCCCTCTGGAGCATCGAGGAGAGCATCTTTCCCAGGAGGAGGGAGCCAGAAGGGCTTCCTGGAGGAAGGGATGTTTAAGCTGAGACCCGGAAGATGTAGTGGATGTTGTAGGACACGGATCCCTCAGCTGGCAGTGTATCACCTTTGGCTGTCACTTAGCTAACTCCTCTCCAAGAATTGATCTCTGCTGAGGGAAGCTGCCTTGTTTAAAGTTATTTCTAGTTTGGAGAAAACTGGGGCAAAAGGTCCACCTCTCGTCTCAGTTGGGACCACTCCGAAGGGGCATCCCTCTCCACAGCTAAGCCTCAGTTTACCTCCAGGGCAGTTCAGCTTTTCCCCCTGCCTGTTTCTCTTCCTCTTCACAGGATTTGTTCCCAAGAGAGCTGCCCACTAAGAATCCTGCATCCCAAGAAACCCTTCCTCACAAACACAGGCAAAGAGTGGTAGTTCTGGTGGGGAGTACAGCGAGTCCCCAACTTATGAACATTTGGGTTGAGAACTTTCACAGGTGTACTGTGTAAGACTCACTTTGTTGGATATGAATGAATCTGACTTAGGAATGTTCTCCTGGAATGGGATTTGTTGTTCGTAAGTTGGGGACTTAATATATAGGGATGGTGTGAGAAGATGGAGCAGCATGTCTGAGGGGTTTGAGAAGAGAAAGCGCGTTCAGTCTCGAATGTATGAATAAAGTCAGTAGGAGAGAGACCTGGTTCCTGACAGAGCTAAGCTCCTGTAATCCATGCCAGGGAGGAGGAGAAGACTGAACTCCTAAGGCCCATGGGAAGCCCTTTGAAAGTTCTATATCATGGAAGAGAAATGCTCTCACTTGTGTTTTAGCAAGATCATGTTGGCTGTAGTGTGGTGCCATGAATAACTCTCATTATCATTGATCATTGTTCTTTTTATTAGAATTTTGGTGTGTTTCATGTCATGTCTTTACAGAATGAAGGGCAAAGCATACATCTCCAGAGCAAGCGATGTAACAAATACCAGTATTGTAGCAATATTTGGAGGACCTTTAAAACTGAGGAAATTCAATCATAGTCTTCTATCCTTGTCTCCTCCTCCTCCTCCTCCTCCCCTTCGTCCTCCTCTTTCACTTCCTCCTTCTCTTTCTCTTTCTCCTCCTCCACTTTCTCCTGTTCCTCCTCCTCCAAGCCTGGTCCCACTGTTTAAAGTATTGTTTTGTTTTTAGTATGGGGATTGACCCCAGGAAGCCCTGAGCTACCTCCCCATCCCTTTTTACTTTGGATTAAGTTGCCCAGGAGGGTTTGAACTTGCAATTCACTTTCTTCAGACACCCCAGTACGTGGGATTACAGATATGTACTCCGACATGGCCTGGTTACAGTATTTGTTGAGCACTGACCACGTGCCAGAATGCACTGTGCTGTTGCTACTGACCAGGGGTGGCGAACCTATGGCACAAGTGCCAGAGGGCTGTTTGTATCATTGAAAGCTCTAAAAGGTTCCCATCTCTGCTACAGAGGATCTCAAAATTCCTAAAAGGAAGGCACGCTTTTCTTGCTTATTGTTCTATCACTGTAGAGCCTGACAAATAGCTGGTGCTCAATAAATGAGCAAAGGAAAGACGTCTCAGGGATGTGGGCAAGCACTTGATTCTCATGACTGCAAAACGGGGATAAAAACAGCCTCTACCTCTCCAGGCGGTAGTAGTGGTAGATACAGTAGGTAAAAACATTTAGTTCAGAGGGTCAAAATATAGTAAAAATAATGTTTACTTAAACAGTTCAAAGATTGTTTGATATTCTCAGTATTGGTAGACATAAACCAAGACCTTAAAGGTTCCCAATTTGATATCTATTCTTTCTTTTCCTCATCACGCTAGGACAGTGAGGGCAAACCTTTTAGAAACCAAGTCCCTAAACTGCAACCCAAAACCCCCTTGTATATCGTAAAGTGCCAGAACTGCAGTTAAACCTGAATACTGAGGTTTTAGTTTGGAAAAAAACAACTATTATTTGATGCTCAGCTGCTGGGGTGACTTGGCCTGTGTGCCTGCTGCAGCACACGTGCCATAGGTTTGCCACCACTGCCTTAGAATATTACTTCAAAAGAAAAAAATGTGCTTTGAAAATCAGGATAAAAGATTTATTCCCTCATCAATTTATTTAAAAAATTTTTTTGGTGATGCTGGGGATTGAACCCACGGTCTTTTGATTTTAATTTTTGAGACAAGGTCTTGTTAAGTTGCCTGGGCTGGGTTTAAATTCTCAGTCCTCCTGCATCAGTCTCCCAGAGTGCTGGGAGTTTCATTAAGAAAAGGGGGTAAGGGCTGGGGATTTAGCTCAGTGGTTCCGCCGCCTGCCTCACAAGCGCAAGGACCAGAGTTCGATCCCCAGTACCAAAAAAAGAAAAAGAAAAGGGGGTAAAGTGCTCTGGGCAGAAAGAAAGCACTGTTCAAGTCCCAAGATAGGAGGGAAGCTTGGTGCCTGAGAAGGATGGAGAAAGTCATCGTGGCACAGCTGAGGGAGTGAAGCAGGGCAGGAGACAGGGCAGACGGTTCAGAGCTTTGGTTGTCACTTGCTCTTTCTTTATCCATGCTAAGGGATACACAAAATAGGGCAGGTAAACTGCAGTCTGAACAGAGTCTAAACTGCCCCGCACCTCAACCTCGTCATCATAATAAATGGAAAAAATGTACAGGACAAAGGCTCTTAGTTTTTTGTTGAGAGCATATTTTTCATCCTATACTCCTACTCCTAAACAAAATAGAGCTCTTAGAAAATCTTTTTTCTACCTGCTTCCATTTTCCCTCCCCTTTTCTTGGAGATGTGGTGCTTTCAGCAGAAACCATCAGGGGGAGGCAGGGACAATTTGGAGCAGGGATGTTGTGCTGGTTGCCCGGGAGATGAAGGAGAATGTGGGGCATCTTAAGTGTCTGGGTGGTGACTTCCTCCCTAGATGGCTCAGGGAAACCTGTTTCCGTCTCGTGATTAGAACAACCTGTGTTCTGTAACGCGAGGTGTTCAAACAGCAAGATGGGCAGTGCTATCTCCCAGGATGCTGAAGGCTTAATTAACATTTGAAAATGCTTTGAGATCTTTGGATAACAGTGAAGTGTTATTATCTTCCGGGTGATATAGGTCATGTGGCACAGGAAGTGGCTTTGAAGGGAAGGAAAACTTTTCATCAGGCAGGCTCCTCTGGGTGGCTTGAGCTGGTTTTTGAGCGACTTGACACGCCTGTGTCTTCTCTCCCCAGACTGTAAATGAAAGGAATAACTTGGCCTACAGCTTAGCAACCACCACCATCGTTAACTGTAAGAATTTAGCAAGCTTGTACCTTAAACACTCTACAAATTATGCAGAATCCTAACACATTTAATAAAGCTGTCCCTTAGTAAGCATTGAATAAATATTAGCAGTTATTTTTATTGTTCTCCTAAGTATAATTTAAGATGTCTGGCTTGTTATCTCTGTACTTTATGCCTTTCAACAAAAGAATTCAATATTCTTCAATGTAAACTAAGCTTACTTTCATTCTAAAGACTTAATAAAAAGAAAAATAAATGTAACATGGAAAGTCTAAGGTGAGGGCCAAGGAAAAGGATCTTTAGTGTCTAGAATCTTGCCTGGCAGGTAACATTCACTCAAAGTTGGGGGCTTAGGCCTTTCCTTTTCCCCATACAAAGGACCCAAAAAAGAAATTAGATTTCCTAATTGTATTTCCTTAATGGTTCCCTGGGGTTTTCAGTGGACAGTATTTCAAAGAGAACGCTTTAAAGTCATTCCAATTTATTTAAGGGCACAAGTGCGAAAGGGTTTCATCCTGTTTCTTTCATTAACTTCTTTGTCTTCATAATACTTCCTGGAAATGTGGATGACAGCATAAGGTGGAGAGTGGAGTGTAGGGACATGGCTCATGTGAGAAAAAAATATTGCTGAGGAACGTGTGTATCAAACCAAAGCTGTGCATATGTTTGTGAAATAACTTTTGCTCACTAGATGACTGGAGGCTTTATTTTTTTTAATACAGAGTTGCCTCTATTATTATTATTAATTATTATTATTAAGAAAAAGTGTTTGGAACATAGTACAGGAGGAGAGTAGAACATGAAAAGGATGTACGGAAAGGGTATAAACCTTGGGTGGAAGGGACAGGATGCAAGGGGCTGGGCCAGGCAGTGCTGGGGATGCCGGGATAGTGTCGCCAGGCCAGGGGCATGCAGGGAAGGATTCCAGAACTGTTTATCTGGCTCCTGTGGGTGGGGAGGTCCCCCCCCCCCCCGAACGGTACACAATACAGTGAGGTCAAGCGCCATGCTGACTTAATTAAAAGCTCATTACAGCAGCCCGTCCCCATTAACAGGCTGACCCACGTGCGGAGCCCTCAGTGCAAAGTCCTCTCTGCTCCCCAAGCCTGCAATCCCAGCCGCAGCCCCGGGGCCTGGAAACTCCGGCCGATTTATTAAAGCGTCCTCCCTGTCTGCCACCATCAGGTACAGTTTCTTTCTGGATTATTTCACATTCCAATAAATTAGTTTTATCCGCTCTGAAACATTTTAACAAAGAAAACTCTCTGGTCATCACATGGGTAAAATAACAAGGGATAAAAGAACATGTACTTCACCTAATCAGAAACAAATAACTCTCAATCTTCCTGGAAAGTACAGCCTTTCTTACCGTCCCCCCCCCCCTCTCCCGGGGCGCTTTTCTCGTACACTCGGTGGGATTTTGAAATTCCAGTCTTAGAGTCAGACTGTGGGACAGGCCCTCCTCACCTTGTTTTGTAATATAATTGTGGCTGACCTTGACAGAAGATCTCCCGGCTGGTTAAGTATAAAGTTGGTAAATGATACTATTGTTTAGGAGGTGGGGCGGGGTGGGAGCAGGGGGTTTATCTAGAAAAAAAATTAAAAAAGGAAAAGGTGGGGGGGGGGAGGGAGGAAGAAGAGGGAAATCCACCCTAACCAGGCTCAAATGAACTGAAATGGATCAAAGTAAACAGAGACATCTAAAAGCTTTTGTAAGTTGAAAGTGGCTATCTGTTGCAGGCCTTGCCTCATTAACCGCTGATTGAAGCGCTGCTTGGCCCTCTGGGATACCTAACACCCCAGGCCCCATCGCCAGATGCACCCCGCTTAGGCCCGGCGGCGCTCTCGCCAGTACTGTTGCTCTGCAAGCTCCTTGACCTCAACCTTCCCACAAATGTCCCTTCCTACAAGGACAAGGGACAAAAGGTTTGTCCTTGAGAATGTTGCTAAGGAAATCTCGCTTCTAGCCAGCGAGGAATTCTCAACAAAGTGAAGCATACTTATGTATGAAGGTGGCGATTGTATCTGGTTCTGCAGGCCTGAATTCTGAAAGATAGGCAAGCAGCACTGATGGAAAGAGTCTGAGAGACGAGTCCAGAAGTTGTTTTTCTCTTGGGTGTCGCTCTCATTACCATGTGTGACTGGTGGAAGGTGACGATCAGGCCATATGCTTACAGATACAGCTATCTCCCGGCTCCGTGGTCCCCGCCGGCCACCCGACCATTCAGTTAGGACGGAAGGCAGAGAGAACGGCAGTGGGGGTGGGCCAGGCCAGGAGGAGGAGCAGGACTCTTTTGAGTAGGACCAGATAGGTCTCTGTGTAGAGTAATATTACAGCTCTTTCTCTCATAAACAAGCGGCATGCCTGCTTCTAAAGGCCCATCTGGCATAGCTTTGAGAATGGCAATAATTACAAGCTGATGATGGACATGGAAAAAAAGCCCCGCTGAGCTAACTCATAAGGAAGTACAGGCCAGGACTGCAGGAAAATTACAGGCTGAAAACCTTTCTAGTTTAGGCTTTTTGGTGTTCTTAATCACAGACTTTAAATGTTGTAATAAACACTGTTGCATTTTATTGACCAACTCCCATGACAGGCAAATCTTTTTCATTTTATTTTATTTTTACCATTTGCTCTTTGGAAAGCTGCTTGGCAGTGTCTGCCTGGGTCATGCCAATGAGTCTTTAACTTCTGTGCTCATAGGAAAATTAGGAAAACGGGCAGCTTTTCATTTGTTCCTAGAAATGTTCAGCGTTTTTTCTTAAATCGTTCTCTGCATGCTATGGTGTAGACAGGCTTTTCGGGCCCTGTGCTTAACCATAGCTGTGTCTGAGAATGGTCTCTTTGCTTCAGTGAAGGGGATTGAGAAGGATTAAATATAAATTTGGGAAGAAGAAACTATGACTCTGCACCACCGAATTGTGTTCTTGATATAGAAAGAAGTAAAAATCCAAGCTCACGCTGTACTGTTAATGAGTAGAATGGTCGATTCTGGCCTTGGTTTTAGAGCTAGCCCTTATTTTAAGGATGGATTTGATATGGAAAGGAGGCTCCTTCTCAAATTTTTGGAGACTGATATTTCCTAAATGGGCTAATTTACATTTTGTCCTCTCAAACATTTTAGACCATTTGATGCAGCAAATGTTTCTAGGAAATCATCTTAGGAGAAGACGGGGGAGATACAGGGAGAACTTTTTTCTTTTCCACTGAAACATTATTAACTTCAAAATCCATAGCTTCAATGTCATGGCAAAGTTAATCTCGAATATAACACATTATTAACTGCTCTTATAATGAGATTATCATGCCAGAAGGTAGAGTTTATTTTAATTCATCACATGTTCTCATTCTCCATGAATTTGATATTCATTTTATGTGCTATAAAAGTCTGAGATTAGAAATGAAGCTTAATCACATGAATTGGGATTAGTCTTGATCCAGTTAACTTCTACCAATGGATCTTTATTCAGAATATGCTCTTTTGGATTTTACAATAGAACATGTCAAGTGCGTTATTCTTTAAATCCTAGGTATTGCTTTTGAAACTGATTTTCCAATCTTTCTTTCCCAATTCCTTATTCTATTCCTTAAAGACTTATATTTTATTCTTTGTGTTTTCTATACAACCTTGCTCTCCCCAGTGGATTATTTAGTTCTGTCCTTTTGCATTTGATTACTTGTTCAAGCACATAAAGTTTTGGGGCCTATGAAGCTAAAGCAATGAAATGGTTTTGCTGTGGAAATTTACCAATATAAACTCAGCCTTTGTCCTTTCAGAAGCATTGCTTTATCTGCAGCTCCCTTGTCAATAAGAAATTATTTCTTTATATCTAACTGTCTCCTTTTCTATACAGGCTAGAATTGTTCCGAACAAAAGAAGCATGAATTGCTGGAAACTATATATTAAATGCAAGACTATTTGTCTAGTTTTCATTGGGTGCTGAGTGAAGAGCCTCAACTCCTCGTATTCCCATGGTACTCAGATGTCCGCGGAGTCCGCTGCTCCTCACACTGTCATTTCTCTCACTGGGCACAATCCGGCTTTAAAGAATCCGACACTTACTGGTCTTTATGGAACTGTCAGCAGTGACAGCAACCAGGGACACTGCCATGTCTTGCTGTTTACAAAGGATGAGCACAACAAGGCATCTCGATGACTTGATAAGCCCTGAGCTCCTCTCTCCCCAACTCTGGCCTCTCTGGACCAGCGGCCTTTGCATGGCCAGCTAAAGACACAAGAATTAAAACTTGATCCAAACACTAACAAGTCTGCAACCACGGCCATGAAGATAAAGTAGGGCTGCTCAAGGTTGCTTGGTAAACAGCGAAAACAGAGAAACAGGAGGATCCTTATATGCACAGGTTATTTTTCTTTCAGTATACTTAAAATTTAGTGGAAAGAAATCCTAGGCTAGCATTAAATTCATAGATTATTATTATGGTCTTGAATAGTTCATCTTGTTTTCTCACTCTGACACTCCTTCACTTCTTTAGAAATTCCAGCCAATAATGTTGTAGCTAAATTAAGATCAAAGTTTTTCTTTTTATTTTAGGGGGTTGAAGGCTGATCAGGGGAGCACAGGCTTAGCATGCACAAGGCCCTGCTTCAGTTCCTGCAGTCTGCACCCCAAAAGAGCTTTTAAAAAAAGTTTTCTGAACCTACTAATTTTTATTTAGGGAATTTAGGTATGTCTTGGAAATTATATAAATGTATGTGCTTTTCTCTTTCTGGCATGCTAAGTTACGGTAGCCTTGGAAGTTGAAACTCTGTCCCCCTTTCCTTTTATTGTTTTTCAACATTGAACACATGGAAGAAGAAAGGAAACTTTCACATGCTTATGTTGCACTGGTTCAATGGTTTTGTTAAGTCTCACACACACATCTCATAGCTCTACCAACTGCATAGGGTTTAAGAATATTGTCTTTCTTCAATTCTAGGACAGGTTGGGCCAATGGTGTTTGTCTTCTGAAAGTATTCCTAGAAAGGGTCTTCTAAGACCCTTGAATAAAGATTTTACAATAGACTTTTCCCATCACTTGCTGCTCCTTTCTTTCCTTTTTTTTTGGTACCGGGGATTGGACTCAGGACCTTGGGCTTTCGAGGCAGGCGTGGTGCCACTGAGCTAAGTCCCTGGACCTACTCTGCTCCTTTCTTGCAGAAATGCTATTGCTAAAAGTAACATATGTCATAGTTCATAGAGCAAAGTGTCTTAATTTTAGCAATGTGATATCCACATTCATCACAAGACTGTAGCTTTACATTGACAGTTACAGAAAGAAATCTCATCTTGATCATAAGGCAGAATCTTCCTGGGGCCAGGTCTCTGCTGAGAATCTTTCTGAACAGTTCTTTTGAGATACATGCCTAATCTTTACTACAGTGTCTGTATGTAGAGTTAGCTTCACTTGGAAATCATTGCTTCACAGGTATTATGTCTCAGATTTTGAGCAAAAGTGGGTATTCCCTTTAGGTTGAAACTGAAGTTCCAGGGTCTGTCCACCTCTACAGAACACATTATGGGTGACATTACAAACCCAGGGCTGTGTGCTTGCAGATAAGTCCCCTATGTTGCCACTTTCTCCCGTGAGCCCAGTCTGAAGGTGGAGTTCCTGTTTTCCCTGGGACACTCAGGACAGAGGGCCCGCTAGTTGAGCTCTTAGAGTGATAAATAGTGCAATGCAAAACAGCACGCTCACAGCTGATGTCAACCTCTACTCCATCTAAAAAAATATTTGGAGTGAATAGAGTTATGTAGCTAGGAAATGATGCAAAGGAAGAATATTCTGTACAGGTCAGTGTTTGTACCATCAGAATTAGCTAGTACATAGAGTTGATACTGCTGGTGGCTGCCTCTTTGTACCTCTTTGATGTGTTGGAGGCAATTTCCATCCTCCTAAACAAGTTAAATACATTTTATGATTTTGACAGGCCAAAGTTAACTCTTGCTAAAATGTCTATATTTTGACTACTTATTAGGTAGCACAAATATATTCTCTTCCATGCATAGAGATTAATTTTCTCAGTTACCAAAAAAAACTTGGTAAGCCATCATTTTAGAGGCTGTTATTTATCAGTACTAGGTAGAAAGTAGGTATTTGTGCTTCTATAGGATGCACTTTATAGCCTCCACATGCTGATGGGATCTACTACTGCTACTTCTAGCGGAGTAAGAATGGTAATCATCAGGCAGAAGAAGTCATGGTAAATCAAGTCTTGGAACGTGATATGCCCCATGGGAATGTAGTAGTATGCTTTTACCCAGTTTTGCCTCAAGCCCAGTTACACCAATGACTTACTTCTTCTTTCATCTGGCTGTGCCATTCCAATACTTGTTCAATGCCAGGTTTTGTTTTTGTGTTTTTATTTGCCTTTTTGGCTTGAGCATGGGGAGTAATTGTGTAGTTTGAAGTCCTTCTGCTCCTAGTTCATCTTGAATCCATGTGTCCCTTATAACTGGGTTTCTTTCTTCTCAGTTAAGTGCAGAGAAATGAGACCATGAGATCTGCTAATGTGCAGAAGGCAGTAAAAGCATTTTTAGAAATATCTTTCTGCACACTGGCCTGCTTTATAATAGAGCAGCACAGAGCAGGAGTTAAGACATCGTTGAAATGCGGGAGTGACTGTGCCCTTTTATTACATCCAGGGTGGTAAGGCCATGGCTTACTGTTTAGCTTCTATGGTGCAATGAAGAGATTCACTTCTTATGTGATTCCTCTCAGGAAGAGGACTCGGAAAAGTTTTAGGGGACATGTGAGACTCCTATGAAGAGGCCTGGAAAATTATGATTTTCTTCTTGAAGTTTGAACTCATTTTTAAAAAACTCCAGACAAGAATGAGGAGAACTGCAGTGAACCCATCTCAGGTTTCTGAGTAGCACAACGTTTGATTACTTAATGTCAGTAAGGCTAGGGGTTGGTTTAGTTCTTGGCTTTTTCTCCCTTTGGAATGATGGCAAAAAATGAACCAAGTATTAGTTTTATTAAAACATCATTAGATATCTGTGTGCAGATATGTTTGAATGAAAGAATATTCCACATATTTATATAATGAGACAATATGTAAGATTTATTTTTATATGTAATTTTAAATTGTCATGTTTTGAATTATGTCCCTGATTACATCTTCTCAAAGGCAACATTTAAGTCCCTATTGCTGAAAAAGAGGTTTTTCTCCTCTTGGTTAGGTAGCAGTTCTCAATGACAGCCAATCCTTTTACAAGTATGTGCAATTAGGCTATCTCTACTCTTTTATAAAAGATTTATTCATGGGCCTCAGTGTGGGTAGCATTTACTTAGATTCCTTCCTTCCTTTTAGGTTGTTGTTGAATATGATTCTCATCTTGGTCTTTCATCTCTGGCCAACTTTTGGTGACAATTCCTAACTTCTGGCAAGTCAGTTCAATGTAATAAACATTTATGAAATGCCTGTCTTGTTTGAGGCACTGTGCTGGCCCCAGGACCATTATTGGAGTGGTTTAGAAGGAGATGGCAATGTCTACAATAAAGAATACGGATCAAATTGGAACAACTCATTGTAATAAAGGGGTAAACAAAGTTTTATATGTCTCTGAGAAGGATGCCATTTATTCAGCCTTGGGGTCCAGTAAGGCTTCCTAGCGGTGAGGACATTTAAATTAGTTAAAGGAAGCTGGGCGTGGTTGTACACACCTGTAGTCTCAGTGCTTGGGAGGCAGAAGCAGGAAGATTGCTGCAAGTTTGAGGCCAGCCTGGGCTAAATAGTGAGTTCAAGGCCAGTCTGAACTACATAGCGAGACCCTGTCTCAAAAAGCCTAAATAAATAATAAATAAATATATAAATTAAAGGAGAAGCAAGATTTTGAATAGATGAAGATGTAGGGAAATACAAAGTTCCAGAAGTGTAAAAGCCCATGATGCTGTAAAGGAGAGGATCCTGTGCAGATTGGAGCATTAACTGTGTGTGTGTGGAGAAAATGGCAGATGAGTTTTGAAGTATAAGATGCTTTCAGTCCATGAGGGACCTTGGAAATTACAGTAAGAAAATTGGGCTTTAATCTAAAAGAAAACAGAAAGCCAATAAAAGCTTTTGAATGGCGAGTGTTAACCAGGATCGTAGCTGTACTTTAGAAAAGGTAACTGATAGGCTAAGGATAACTTGGGGGTAGAAAGAACATGAGTGAAAGGGGCCTTGGGACAGGTGATTGCAGTAATAATCCAGGTACAGCTGGTATAATGAAGACAACGGTTAGAAAAGCAGAGATGAGAGAATAATCCAGGAGATGTTCTGAATCTAGAGTTGCATGTGGTAGGATTCACAGGAAACTCCCAAATGACTCTGAAGTTTCTTCTTCTTCTTCTTCAGAGGTTTGGTAAATGAACTATGATGAGAACTTGAAGAAAAGAAGGTTGAAGGAGAAGACAGTGAGTGGTGAAATGACATTTTAACAGGCTTTGCTGGTAGACGCCATTTCTTTTTTTCAAAGGACAAGTTTGTTACTCATTCTTTCTGGATTCCACCATGAGAATCATAGCCTATTTTGTTTATATTTAGAACCCTGAAACAGTCTGACTCCTCAAAGGAAAAGAAGAAAAGCTAGATCTGCTCTCCATCGTTTTTGTATGCAGGTCTATTCTATCCCAATCTCAAGGTGTTTTGAGGTGTAACCTAAGCCTTACTCAAGATAGAGTCTTCCGTACCTTCCCCTCCTCTGATTCTACCGTTGAGGTTGAAGCCATGTGAAATCCTTTTTAATGCATATAGGATTCTCAGAGTTACTCACAACTAGCCTTTTGAGAGGTAGAAGTGTAGCCAAAATGGATGCTTGGATTGCGTATCTCCTGTAGGTTAGAAAGCTGCCAATTCTATCCCAGGGGGTGGAAATAAACACCAGCCCATGGGCGTCTGCTACCTTTGCTGCTTCCTTTCCTCCATGAGGAAGGAAACCGTGGGCTTTCCTAGGCATTTTTCTTACTCTCTTAACACAAGGGAACTGAAGATTCTTGGCTTTTGGAGTTTGGGTAGTGAATTGAAGGCTGGAGGGTTTTCCAGAAGGCAGACAGTTCCCATCTCTAAACTGTCTTTACTTTGTTCCTCCACCCCCTTTCCTGTGCTGTACAATTCATTTCAACTCCAGAATTGGAGTGGACAGTGTCAGAAAGCCTTCACGGAGAGCCCAAAGCTCAGCTCATGCTTGGCTTCAAGGTGGAGAGATCTAAATGGAATGAAGGTCCTGTGCCTTTGTGATTATCCCCTATGTAGGGAATATAGTTTATGCAAATATTTCCACTCTTTTCCAACTCATTTCTTTATTAGATTTGCACACCACATATCCAATGACAAGTCCCATCCAAAGGTGGCAAGGATAACTGTTAATTCCAAATATCTACTTCTCATCTGATAAAGCCATTTGGATGTTTGCAGTATGAATTTGGCTTACACCTAGAATTTCCCAAATCAAATATTTAAAAATCATGAGTAGTAAGTTCAGCTCTGAATCTCGGGAAAATACTGTGTAATAGGTGGATTGATCTAACTAGATCGTGCCCTTAAGGCATTGGCTGTCCTATAAAAGCGGTAGAAGAATTCATTCGATCATTTTAGGTCCCCTTTCCCACCCAAGTACATTGAAAACACTATGCTTACTTTTTAATTTTGTCCCCCATATCATGGCACAAAACCCGCTCTCCAGTTTCAATTCTTTGATTATTGCAGCAGCAATAGTTAAGAGACAACAAAACTTCAAAAAGGGATGTAAATATTCTGATCCCTTCCCACTGATTGCAGCCAAGAAGCATATATCAGTCACCTATGGAACACTGCACATTGGTGACTGTTGTTTGGCACAAAAAGAGGAAACAAGCCCACGAGGAAGGAGCTTGCTGCGGACATATCCGAGTGAGGGAGAAAGGGGTCAGGGCTGGAAGGGAAGACCATAATCACACTGCAGGGCTCTGGTCCCTGAAAGCCCAAGTCTAGGGAGA